ATCTAGTAAGGCGACGTGCTCATTCATCTATTTAATTAAACAATTTTTCGTTTACCTTTAATTTTTAGTTTTCCAATTCAACTGTAATCACATAAAACAGGCAAAACATGCATAAAAGGAATACAATCACATCATCATACCAATTCCAGTGTATTATCACGTATTCGAAAACTATAAAGTCAGACAATCGGTTAAACACAACAAATAATAGTAAATAACCGGTTCTGACTCCATTAGTAACCTGTAATTAATTACGAATATTTTTTGAGTTTCACAAAATACCACATTATTTAAAATTAAACTTCATTTTCATAACAGAAAATGAAGTGAGAAATTCTTACTCAAATTGATATACAAAATGCTAACTTTTGACTGTGCTTACTGGCGGTCCCCGACTTCCCTAAATTTTTCTTCGGGGATTAAAACGTACTTCAAGTACCTAGAAATATCCCAAAAAATTCAAAATCAGTGTTAAGAACCTTTTTTGGCGAATTTCGAAATTCCGGCATGGTGGCTCCGCCGTGCTCCGGCAATGGCATCGCCGCCCGCGGTGGCGCTTTGCCTTAAGTCAATTGTTTTCGGCCATTTTTTATCGAACTCGGCCGGTTTTGTACCAATTCCTGTGAGAAAACATGGTAAGGGGCCTCAGTTGGCCAAAAAAGTCGAAGAAACCGAAACTTACCGGCAGCGGCTCTGCTGGCTCACCTTCACAGTTAGATGTTTTGCTTCAGTCAACCTGTAGAAAAGGAAATGGTGATTACAATGGTGGAAGAGTTATGCAAAACAGAAATTGGAAAGGGCCTCATCGGATGCAGTTTTTGCATTTTTCAACGGCGGCGCCGCCGGACTTTACCCACGGTTTTCGGCCAATTCGCCAGTCTTTTTGCTCTGATTTGGCCATGGGGGTCTTTAAAATCAAATTTCGAGCAAAGAAAATTTTTTTACCTCTTTGGCGGTTGAAAGTGGTTCCAGTGCAGCCGTGGCGGTGGTCGGCTTCCTTCCCGGTGACTGAATCTTCTTCTCCAATGGAGGGTCTAGCGGCTAGGGTTAGGGTTTGGTGTGAAGAGGGTTATTTATATTCGTCCCCTTTTAATCTGGGTTGTCCATCACGTATGATCTGGGCCGTCCAATCGTGATTTGATCTAAACCGTCTGATCGTGTTTAAATACGAAGTGATCTAAACCGTTCATC